ACTCTTCAGTGCAAACAAAACAAACTATAAAAGTAATAAATAACAAAAAAAAAAGTATTTATAATAGCAACTCTTCATATCTTTTAATTAAATGCGCGCTCCTCATTTACGAATAAACAAATAAATTATAATAACAATAAGACATTTTATGGTTTGGTTGACACCATAAGGAAGTACTCGTAATGTTGGGTCCTGCTTGTAGTCTATTGTTTATCCCTCCAGAGATTTGTGATTTATTTTTTTAACAAGTGACAGGAGGTTGTCCTTTAATTTGGCTGAATGAAAGGGATGTCTTTGCATGTTAAGCGGGAATTAAAAATGATCGTGTGTATGTGTGACTAGGTGTAACTTCATAGATAGAATGAGATTAACTATTTTTAAAAATCGAACTTTAGGAATACCCGTTGTAATAATCGTAACAATACTTATATTACATAGACAGAGAATACTGTTTACTATTGTTAATCTATACGGTAAAAATAAAAAAAAATACAAGTAATGTTCTTGATCTATATTTATTTTTTATTACAAATTAGGCAATGTAAAGTGTCAATAAAGTATTTAAAAAATTGTTTTAAATACGGAATGTAAAATCATTTAGAATATTAAAAATTTTATTACACATTATATGCAAGTTATTAATTAAAGTTTCTCTGTTCGTTTAGCAGTTAAAACATTTCGTGTCTATTTTTCAAAATTAATTAAAAGTTTCTACAATGTTGCATGACATTACTAATTCATTTCTTAAAAAAAAAACCTAACGATGCTGAATTCACTAGACTGTAAAGTGAAGTTCTCACAGAATAAAAAAAAAAATATATAAATGGAGTTTCAGAGTCGTGCAAAAAATCCGCGTACGGTCCGCTGAGCTGGAAGGGTGCTTTATTATAATCCTTTACTTTGATCTCTCTTTCTGGCATGTGGGGCTGGTGTATCTCTGTCCTTGTCTGGCATTAATTAAGGGCGTAGCTGACCCTTGAAGGTGAGCTGATATTTTAAAGTGCGTGAGAAGTGGTTATTGTGATCCTTTGTTTTATTGTGGTCTCGTTACGTGTAGAATACTTATGTTCGATTGCGCAGGCTTTTTGTGGTGATGAAAGTGCAAATTTTGTACGGAATGTACGGTTGGCAAATAAATATTGCAATCGGATATAGCACAATTGTTTTATTAAGTTTAATATTTCTCCTATTATATCGAAGTGTAACTTCTGCTGTGTATATATTTAAAATTTTGCACAGAGCAATTTTTTTATAACACAGGTGGCAAACGAACATGCTGCTCATCTGATGGTAAGTGATTACCGCCGTCCACACGCAACACTAGAGGAAGTGTAAATGTACTGCCGACCTTTTAAAAAGGAATATACTATTTATTTGGCATAAATATTTACTTAAATATCTAAATACATAAATCTATGTTTTGTATCTGATTTTAAATTAACCAAATTTAACGAAATAAACCTTTTTGTCATAAAAAATCAAATCGTGTAATGTATAAATGAGGATAATTGTCTATAAATAGTTAAAAAGTGTCATTTTCCTTTCTCGTTCAAATAATTAATCATTAAAAATTATTTTTTATAAGTATTATTATAGAATATTATAGAATTAATATAGAAGTTTATTTTTCTACCGACTATATTGTTATGTCATAACATCGTTGTACAATTCTCCTTAACAGAATTGTTTCATGTTGTCAAATTGTCTGGAATATTTTTTATTTTGTTTATTTTTTGTGCGACAAACTTTCTCATAATTAATATTTTAAATGTGAATGTGAGTTAGTTTGTTTCCTCTTCGTGCTTTAAAGACATCATTCACTGCGATGAATGAAAGACATTCTAAGTTGTATAAAAATATTAGTATTCATCAGAAATTTGCCATTCATGCACTATTTGAGACGGAGAAGAACATGGACTGTTTGTTACGATAGTGAATCTATATATCTTGGTCACGAAGACTAAGTCGTGGATGTAAAATAAAATAAAAAAAAAACATATATAGTAGTGTGGTAAAGATTAAGAAAATACAATTTATTATTATTATGATCTATTAATTAAAACATCGAAATTAATTTAATAATTTCTTCTGAACTTTGTATACTGACCGTACTTACAAAAGAACGGAATGTAAAGGCGCTACTTATTAAAAGTCAATGACTACTTAGAAATCGAAACGAACGATTATGAATTCTATTGCTTTCGAATTAAGATACAAAATTGCTTATTATATAAATTGTACAGTATACTTACAGTATACAACTTCTGTAGATACTGCATAAATTGATTAATTAATTTATGACAGTTAATTATGCACATAAAATTTATTTATAAATAAGGTAATAAATTAATATTTATATATGTCATAGTATTTAAAGTACATTAAATATTTTTATATATGTGGGAACGTGTGATAGATATGTGGTAATTAGAAGCTGTAATTATGTTGATATATTTTTTTTTTGATGGGTGAAAATGGTATGGTAACCCCGCCTGCGCTAACGGGATACGCTGGCGGAGCACCAGTGAAATGTGATAGATGAGAATGAAAACAGGCCAGTTAGCCCATCATGATGGATTCATCAGGAATTAACCATGATATATATGGTTGGGATATTGCTAGCAATGGGATGATTACTAACAAACCCTTTCCCCCCTGTTGATAGTATTGCTAATTACTTGCTGGGTTGCATGGGTGGTATTGTATTTCCTTTATATTGAAATTTTCACAAATTCTTTCTTAGCTGATGCTTAGAATAGAATAGATAATATTTATGGCCAACAATTAATAATTAAAAATATTTATTTATTTATTTCTATGTGTAACACATTTCGGTTTCGATTCGATTTTATCGAAAAGGGAATATTGTATTAATTTTCTTATTTGTATAGGGTGAATGAAAGAAGAATCACGAAAGTAATTTAGAACAGAATAGAAAATATTTTTTGCCAGAAAGAAATATAGTGTACACATATAATTACATATAATCACATTAAATTATACATAAATATTGCATTATTGTTATACTAATAAACAGTTTTATGTATCTGTATGTCTACTTAGTAGCGCCATCTACCATTCGCATTGGTACTACAGCAAATCAGCGTTTAGGCGTTACGTATGAATGGCTAAACATTTAGCTGAGTGATTTTTGACCATTTTGATCGCATAATTTCTAATTTTTATTTTTAATAGATGACAATGTAATGGTAACCCCGCATGCGCTAACGGGATACGCTGACGGGGCACCAGTGAAGGGTGATAGATGAGAATGAAAACAGGCCAGTTAGCCCATCATGATGATTTTTTTAATTTATCACAATGTGCCAACTGACTTGCTTTCATTCTCACGTATCACCCCTATCTCACCTTTTTTTTAATGGACGATAATGAAATAGTTACCCCGCCCGCGCTATCGGTACACGCTGATGGGGCACCAGTGAGGGATGATAGGTGAGAATGAAAAGGCAGGTCAGTTAGCCCATTGGGATGAATATCTCTGAAATTCGGCACGATTGTTTCTAGGGAGGACCACGTGGAGGTAGATTTGACAGGGTATATTGCTAGCAATGGGACTGGTAGTTCACACCGGAGAGAGACTTTGTACAAAAGTCGATTGCTTGGGTACCTCTGTCCCATTCGTGTTTCTACTGTGAAGCAGTTGTGTTTGCATGGCTGTGTTTCGGTTTGAAGGGTGGGATATGGCGTGAATTTACTGGGTATAAAGGAATAACACCTGAGTCCTCAGGAATGGCAACGCATGTGGGGTATCATGGGCGAAACAGTATACTCTGTTATGTCTATGGTATTGCTCATGTCTATAAGCAACGATTACCACTTTCTATCAGGTGGGACGTCAGCTTTTTTTGCTATTCTAAGTTGTATAAAAAAAAACATTACTAACAATCCCTTCACATTTCTCCCCCCAATTTCAACAGCTTGCTGATGGAAAATGGGTAAATCCTCCACTGGCAGCCATGTACAGTTGCTTGCTAGCAGAAATACGAATAAGATATAGTAGAGACTAGAGACAATTTATATCTACTTAAAAAAAAAATAATTGATACCGATTATTTAAACAAAAACTATTCAATTGGTCAAGTGCGAATAGCACTGGTGTTAAGAGGGTTCTGTACTTAATATTCTGTAAATAGGTTGCTTCTCTAATTCTAATTAATTCGACCAATTTTTGTAGTAAGTATTACAAAAAAATGTCTACAAAAAAATTATTTTTTAGTACCATAATTTATGTACTTCACTATTATAATAATCAGCGATATAGTTAATTAAATATTAAAAGTAAAATATAAAGCGTGAAACATGCAGAATTTCGCTCAGCAAAAAAAAAAACGAGATTGTTATAATGTCAAAATTTATATGATACTAAATTATATTACTTACAAAATTATAAAGAATTTTTCTAAGGAGAAAAATTCTTGGTGAATAATATAGGTCGGTTAAAATGGCGGAATTAGATTAAAAGTATCTATTTAAAAGCTAATATTAGCAAGTTATATTCAATCTTAACTTCAATTTTAATATTTAATATAAGCAAATTATATTTAACAAATAATATATAATAACAAAAAAAAAATAACAACAATTAATTCAGTTATTAACAGAAGTAATTCTTTTAAATAATTATTGACTCTTAAATTTTAATATATACTTTTACTTATTGATATGTACATTATAAATCATTAATTTAAAATTGTATTTTATTAAGTTTTTTGTCTATTTCTAACGTTTCTTTAAAAATCAAAATATAACTTAAAAAAAAAATAAAATTAAAAATGATTATTATTTATTTTATTATACTTAGTATAATGTTATTTTGTTCTGTAAGTGAAAGAATGAATATTAAAAATGTTCGATAATTTTGTAACGTATATCGTATGAAATTTTAAATCTTACGCATTATGTTCCATGGATATAAAGGATGTCATATAAATATCAATGTGTATAGTTCTTTTGAAAACCGTCAAAGCGGTCCGACTCACCGTTTCTCGGGTCCTTAGAAATCCCTACTGCACAATATGATGATCCCGGCACACACAGAATGCAACAGTCGCACACGCAGCCACATTACAACACGTGTTCCGAACACGAAAAACAAATTGAAAATAAATATGCACAAATTCCAAATTCAAATCAACATTTCATATTTCGAAATAGTGCCGGCGAAAATTTCGGAAAAGTTGCGCGCATCGAACAACGTGCTTTCCCGCGCAAAGCTCGCGTTCGAATAACTACAACTTTGTGCTTACCTGGGGAGTAGCTACAAAGTTTCTCTGTCTCGCTCCATTGGCGGCCCGTTTGTGAGGTGCGAGTGAGAAAAAAGTTTTTATTGTAAGGCGGAACGGTCGCGAAGATGCAACTTTGGGGGCAACTTTTTTCAGTACCGCTGTTTTGTTTTGGCGCCTTATCTTTGCGGTCATGTGATTAGTTGATAATCGTACTGTCGATATGGGTCATTGACAAATGTTTGACTAAAATGTGTACTATGAAAGTATAGTGTTGTAATATGTTTTTTTTTTTTTTATGCGGGCCAGTTAGATAGTGGATAATGTTCACAGCAGCTGCCTAACTTTACGTAAAATTTATGTATTCTTAAACAATATTTATACTTTATTTATATACATAAATAACATAAAATTGAGAATGCAAATCTTATTAATATAATAAAATTGTAACGATATCTGTAGGTTTTTTTTTTATACAACTTATAGGTTATATAGGTCTTATGTCAAGCGGGAGTGTGTTCCAGTGTTTAATAGCTTGAACAGTGAAAGAATAAGAAATGAAGCTAGTATGATGAGCAAGCGTATGAAGAAGAAAATGCCTGAATATGTGTGAAAATTGTCAAGTGAGACGTGCTTGTTCTCACTGAGCTAAGGCGTAAAAGCGACTTGCAAGTATATTATAAAAAAAAAACTATATGTGATGGAAAACGATAGGTATAGGCTATTTATAATCCCGGTCAATAAACGTATTTTAGTCACGCAGACAAAGTCGCGTGTAAAAGTTAGTCAATAAATAAGTAAACAGTAAATCTCTCGGCTATTTACTTAACGGTTTCGAACATAGCAGTGAATGTATCAAGTAATAACGATTCAAAACGTTTACCGATTGATCTTAACATAGTTAAGCGAAAATTCAAACAGCGATTCGTTATCTGTGTTTCACTTGTAAATAGCGGTGGTCCATGACCCGGTCAGTGGGTTCGAGTCCGTTCGGGACAATTAAACAATTTCCTCGTCTCGTTTGGTTAGTGGCATACGTGAGATTTAACGCTATAAGGTACTATGCTATGCGATGTTTAATATTGCTGTGCCAAATCATGCACAGTTGGGGGAAGGGATTGTTAGTAATGCGGATTACTAGTGCCATTACTAGCAACATATCTTGACAGGTCGACCTCCACGCAGTCTCCCCTGAAAATCATAGTATTTTTATGCAACTTAGAATGGAAAACAAGCTGACGGCCCACCTGATGGATTAATTCCGTTGTGTTTTATTTTATGTTTATTACCTCATAACTTCGTCAGTTACAAACCGACTTTTACTTACAAATTAATCTTATAGACATATTTTTCAATGCTAAATAATATAAAAATAAAAATAAAATAAATTGTCAAAAAAATAAAAAAAAAATATTTAGAGGTGGGTCACCCCTATCATTGAGGGGTATGAAAAATAGATGTTGGCCGATTCTCAGGCTTACCCAATATGCACACAAAATTTCATAAAAATCGGTAAAGCCGTTTCGGAGGAGTTTGGTAACAAACACCGTGACACGAGAATTTTATATATAACATAACTGGTTTCACTACTATTAAAGTAGTTTTTTTCTATGGAACACAATCTTAATCATATTTTGAATTGAAATATTATAATTAATTTGATTTATAATAAGTTTACTATTGTAACCTTTTGGAGTTTTGTAAAAAAGTCAATAACCGTAAAGCAGTTATGTTCGCATGGCTGTATCTATCTATAGCGTGAATGTTTTGTATGACAACGCATGTCGATACTCTGTTATGTTCATGGTACTGCTCATGTCTATAGGCGACATTAGTTTCCATCAACCGTCAGCTTGTTTGCCATTCTAAGTTGCATAAAAAAAATTATATACACCATGTGGACTACTTTTGTATAAAGTTTCCATTTAATAAATCGTATTGTCATTTGTATAGCGTTAACTGCTTACGTACGGCGACAAGAACCAGTTTCAGTACTGTTCTAATACGGAATACAATAATTGAAGATCCCACTATGGTATCTGTAATCGATCTTGAGCAATTATCAATCCATGCATAAGTTCAACCATACGTGGATTATAAGCTTGTTTATCGTTCCTTATATCTCTTTTTTTTTTTTTATACCACGAAGGTACATAGGGCCCGTAATAAACATCTGAGTCCTTACGGAAAAAAGGCAAGTCTCTAAGCATAGGGGTCATTCCATGGGCGTTTTGTTAAACAGACATATATCGCTGACTAGCAATGTAATTTATTTCCATTTAAATGACCAGTATTATGTTATAAACTCATGTAAATCAATCAGTAATTTAGCTGCTCATGTCTAACCGGTAAAACTAACTAGTTAGATTCTCTGGGGGAAGGGATTGTTAGCAATGGAGACTAAGAATCCCATTGCTATCCCTACCAGGTCGACCTCTTCGGCCCCCGGAAACTATCATTGTCATTCCTGATGAATTCATCATGATGGGCTGCCATTCTCAATCACCCTTCACTGTTGAATATAAAAAAAAAAAAAAAAACTAATCTTTCACCAAGCGCGTCTTGAATCATTATCAACTATTAATAAAAAAAAAAAAAAAAAAATATTAAATAAATAATTTCGGTGTGTGGAATATATAAAAACTAACAAAAACATGCGATATTTTTATTTTATAAATAAATATATTATTATATATTATATTAAACAAGGGTCTCACACTAATAGTTCGCAAGAAGAAACTTCTGTGAAACGGCACTGTTAACTGAACTGTTACTATGCAAACACAACTGCTTCACGGTTGAAACACGATATGGGACAGGATATAACAGAGTATACCAAGCAATCGACTTTTGTACAATAGTCTCCCTCTCGACTTTTGTGTCCATCTGGGTCCTGCTTAGGGTTAAGGAAAAAAGACAAATTATTAGAACTATTGAGGACAGAAGGGGAAAAATGTTGGGACACTTGATACGACACGACGAACTTATGAACATTATAATAGAAGGTAAGATAGAAGGAAGGAGGGGAAGAGGGAGACCGAGACATAGTTACATTAGGCAGATCAGGGAAGGAGTTGGTGTCGTATCGTATCAAGAGGTGAAGGGACTCGCTGAAAATCGTAGTGAGTGGCAAGAGCTCCACCGACAAGAGCGCAACTCTTAAATAGGATAGATAGATAGAGTAGTAAAGAATACAGTCCACCTATATTTATATTAATATTATATTTATTTATGTTAATACTATATTATATTTATATTAATACTATATTTATATTTATATTATACTAGTACTACCAATTTTTCAATAAGAAATCTGTTATAATCGTAAATTACTTATTTAAAAGGAATTAACTTCGTATTCCAGTCACCCCTTGTTCACCTTCCGGATTGAAAAATATTTATTTTCAAATACAAGCTGTAATTTAATATCAGACAAGAAGTCAGGGGAAGACGTCACATCAAACGAGTTTTATGTCATGTTTTGTTATTAAAAAAAAAAAAATCAAAAGTGAGTACAACTCGTATATTGAGGGTTACGTATAATTAAAAAAAAATAGCATAAAACTCTTTGATTTTATATTCCTTTTTAGTACATTTAATAAAGTATTAAATGATTGAAATTGGTTTCCACACAGAAAAAAAATCTGACTTTATTTATGGCAAAATCAGTTATTTTGTTTTAAAAACTAAACTACTGCATAGATTTTAATAAAATTTCTATGGCATCAATCTATAAATATATTTTTTTAGATTAAAGAAAAAAATTTCAAATCCGTTTAAAACTAATTAATTTATGAAGTAACAAACATAAAAAAAAGTACAATCAAACTTAGAACCTCTTTCTTTTTCATGTCGGTTAAAATACACACAAATATGTCGTCTTTTTGCAGATCAATGAACAAAGAATTACAAATAAATAACATAATAACGTGACCATGGGTAGCGGTAGTCACTTACCTTAGTATACCTTACTTATCAAGTGAGCCGCATGCTCGTTTTCCCCCTGTGTTGTAAAAAAAAGAAGATACTTTTTAAATAAAAAGTTTAAAAATATTCAGTTATGGAACGAATCAGTTGCATTGTATATAATTTACAGCGTAAAGCAATAATATGTACAAAGCAAAATTTTTGGGGAAAAACTAAAATAAATCTTCGTGTTTGTGGTCTAACTACTTATAAAATAAACTTAAAAATTTGTAAAAATATTTGGATATTTAATACTAATGATTGAGTATTAAATATATAGAATGGGCCACACTTTCCTTTCCTGTGGGTGTCGTAAGAGGCGATTAAGGGAACTTCGAGGTCGACGGAGGACGGAGGTAACGGTCGAGGGAGGCAACCGCTGTCAGGTATTGGTGATGTATTAAGAGGGACACTGCTGTTTGTTTATCGACTGTTAAGTTCCATTTAGTGCCATTCTATACCGGGATCACATTGTCAAATATGTAATATTGTAATTATTAGGTTACATTTTATTCTAATTTGCACGGTATTCAGTTAATTTATACATTTTTACTGTTATAATTGTGTTGTATGTTTGTTTGTAGTGTATAAACTCAAAAACTGCTTTACCGATTTTAAAAATTCTTTCATCCATAGAAAGCTACATTGTCACCGAGTAATGTAGTTATTATCAAAAAATATTAGAGATTTTTTATAAAAATTATAATAACATAAAGTAATGAGAATTGACTAGCTTGCATCCTCACCTATCATCCCTCACTGGTGTCCTGGCATCGTATACTGATAGCACGGGAGGGGTTAATTCATTATCATTAATCAATCAATCAAGGGTTTCTCTTTGCCCGCCGGATGATGTGTGGGTGGGCGAGGTAGGGGCCTCGGGGTGTACCCCATTACCCCGGCTTCTACTCTGGAGGCGACAACCGCTGGCAACGATCGCTGGATTTGCAACCGGTATACACTGTTGGTCTGTGTATGCCGGCGTGGCGTCTCATTATCATCGATTAAGAAAAAAGATCTGTT